ACTTCATATGAAAAGTATCTAGAAAAATATTTACGATCTAAACGTCAAAAACAATATCTAAATGCAATGAAAAAGATCTAAATTTGGATGCAAAAGATCCAAAGTGGCAACACTGGATACATGCTACAGACGATAGCGGATTAAGGACAGGCGTGATCGCCCACGCCAGTCGGCAAGGCATCTGATGATGATACTGAACTCTGTATGTGTTATTTTCTCAAGCCGGGCCGATACATAATGTATTGAATAGTTTAAAATGCTTCAGTTTCAACAATATTTTTTATAATAATCTTACTGTAAATGATGCCTGTTCTGGGATTGCAGACGCAGCAGATGATTTTACCACAGACATTTCAGAGTCAGAGCAAGCTCTCAAATACAGAAACGCATTCGTATGTTTAGAAACATCCACACTTCTAACGTTACTAGGGCAATCACATATCAGTAGGTAAGAAAATAGAAGAAGGAAACGTGAAAAAAAGGAGGAGGAAGAATAAACAGAAGCAGAAGAAAAATAGAAGAACTCTTTTTTTAAACAGTTAGGGATCAAGGGACGCCCCTTCATTATCTGTCATGAGAGTGAGCGTGGCGGAGGAAGATTTCAATCCTGGGAACAGTTACGTAGTTTTGCAGGTATTTTACCAGCGCAAACGGTACACATTTACGCGATGAGTTGTTTATATATAATAAGAGTTTCTGTTCTGCAGAGGACTGCGTGGTCTCCATGCATGGTGTCCACCTCGAGTGCTGGAGGTCCCGGGTTCAGGCGCTGGTGAAGGCTGGTATACGTGAACTTCTAGTAATCTACCCTGGTGTCCATGTAGTAAGACAAGACGCCTGTGTGTATTGTTGCGCACGTAAAAACAAATCCCTTGGCAGGTGGAGATCGAAAAGAGTAGCCTCAAGGCAAAAAATCTACCCAAAGTAGTTCAGTATCCTCGCCGGTTCAACGGAGTTCGTGCACAGTGCTGAGATTCTTCAGACTCAGGTTTGAGTTAGAAGAAGAACGGAGCACTTAGGGGTTACACCCGAGTGCCATAATGTTGATCCGTTGAATAAACAAACAAGCAAGTTCAATGTTCTGAAAAAAAAAAAAAAAAAAAAAACTAGAGCATAGTTCGATTTAAACTTATTTCTGCGAAGTATTTACGGAAACATTATGAGTTATGTTAGATTATCTTCACAGCACTCAGGACACATCCATAAGCGCTCAGATTCCCCTCTCAGCATATTCATCAGCGGTTAATAGTACCAGTCCTATGTTGGTAAACAAGACTTCGTGTGCGTCCACTGTGCTTCTCATGCTTGGCTGTGCCGACCTTTACTCCCAATTCACGTATTCTTAGCAGTGATGTGGACACATTGCTTCCAAAATTCTCAGAACGTCATATCTCTCTAAGGGCATTGACAATATCCGCGTGATCCATGGACCGGCCATCTTGAATTAATGCAGCACCTGCCAGTCTATCAGCTCTCTCATTACCAACAACGCCTGCATGCCCTGGGACGAATATGAAAGTAACTGCACACACGAGAATTTTGCAACGACTCAAGCCACTGTCTGCGTAACCAGCCTGCCTCGACCCGCCGGATCATGCTCAAAGAATCACTCAACACACACACGCGGGAATATTCCTGTGATCCCAGCCACATGAAAGCCTGTGTCACCGTAATCACTTCCATCGTCATGCTGCTGGTAGTCATGGAGAAGGCACCGCTAGCTTCCTTAACTGTTCTGCCTGAAGGGCGAGCTGTGGATGCCCATGCACTCTTATGTCCTCGCATAACGGAGGATAAGCGCGCATACCTCGGCATTGACAGCAGCTGGAGTCTGCTCCCGACACTTCCTATCGAGCGTCACGACACAGGAGAATGTGAGACTGGGCGCTTTAGACTCTGGTATCCACTCCTTACCTGGATGGATGTCTGTAAGGCTGCAAACCTGCATGGCATCATCCTCTGCCCTACCAAGCCATGATTTGCCCCTTTTAAGCCTATTGCCCTTTTTCTTGAAGAGCATGTGGTGCAAAGGGTGCTTAAGATATAAAAACCTTATACACTCGTCATTGCCTTACAGCTGGTCAAATATTAAATTAAAAATTAAAATTAATTTAGTATAATGCTCATTGTTCTGTTGTTGTGTATCTTTAAAGAATACACATCTGGAGAACTCCGTATGGGTTCTGGGACACGATTTAAGAGAGTACCAATCAAGCATGTAGTGAAAAGCGACTGATTATGATCTTTCTTTCGAAATCGCAGTGCGTCTGTTTCAGAGACTTCTAAATACTGTTTTAGTTTGAGTTTCTTGTCATGTATAATCTTCTTTCACCCAAATCTCCGTTTAGTTTAGATATACCGAATACATTGTTGAGATATAATCGTGTGCTTGGTGCATAATGCTTTCCGGATGTAACGACTTTAGTTCGAGTCACTATTGCTAATCGCTGTTAAGATCATTGAAAACAAGCCATGAAAAAACACTGATAACCAAGTGTGTTTGCGACTAGTAGACAGCTGTAAGAGCAGTCGATAGGAAGTTACCGTGGTTATAACACAGAATGGTGCAACAAGTGTAAGATAACACAAACACATGATATGTGAACACCTGTATGCCCAGAGAACGTCAAAAGGTTAAATCTGGATAATGGTGACACGTTAATAAAGGATGGCGATATCTGGCCCATATGGTATGCAACGATTCTTTGATGCAATGGGTTGCATGCACCCTAGTGGTCATCGGTTGTACACCTTGCGTGCTTGTGTTATACACAGTGTTTGTGTGTGTTAAACATTCTGTATTATACATTTTATGTGTTCTGCATTAGTTAGTTGTCGGCGTCTGTGGCTTAGGCGTTGAGAACGCGCTTCGTAATGCCGGGGTGCCAGGTTTGATCCCAGCTGCGAGGCTTGCGCCTTGCGTTGGTTTCGAAAAAAAAAAAAAAACTACAACAGGCAAAAAATGCTAGAATTGGTTCTGCAATGTCCTATAAAGGATACGCGACTAACTTACCAAAAAAAAAAAAAAAAAAAAATTAAATAGTTGGTGTTTCCTCTTGAACCTAGGGGCGGCATAGGGCAGAAGTCATAATTCTCCATAAAACCGCGTTTAGCCTTCAGGCCATATTTATGGCCGGGCTATATTGCGACCCCTGGCAAGAGCCAGGATAAGGCTTCAAATAAAAGGACATCACACAAGCGATAAACACCCGCTGACACAATCGCTTGTGTGATGTCCTGGTGGGGTAGAAAGTCAGTCAGTCAACGATTTAGATGGTCTGTTGTTATACAGATACCTGTACGACAGAAGACAGTTAGGTGACACAGAATGTCTGACGAGTGTTAACGGACAGACTAAGAGACACGGTTACCTAAACTACTGACAAGCAAGCCCGACATACAAGAGACCGGCAGACAAAACCGACAGGGGACATGACACACCGACAAGAGACCCGACTGACCGACAAGAGACCCGACTGACCGACAGAAAAGAGACACAACCGACATACGTATGTACCATACGGACAGGACAGGCGATATGTATGGATATATATATAAATTAGCGGAATTGAGTGCATATTTTACCTACAGAAGCTTGGTGTTTCAGCGTTAAACCTCAACAATGACACTTCTTTATTTTGAAAATCTTAAAGACGCTGCGATTCGTTACCTCAGCCCTGAACTTTGTAGGTGGTTCTGTTCTCTCTCTCTCTCTCCCCCCCCCCCCCCCCCCCATCCCATGCCTTACGTAGTACATATAAAACATATTCTATAAAGAACTGTAACACTTTTTTTCGTAGTCATTTCAAACCTAACGAAAGTGCGCGGGCGCGTGCGCGTGCGTGCGCACGTGTGTGTGTGTGTGTGTGTGTGTGTGTGTGTGTGTGGGCCCTTTTTCTTCACCCATCACCTTGGGCAGGCAGAAAGTTCAGGTTTTTCTAAACTTAGACAGTTTTGATCCAGAAATTGAACTATGCGCACACATCCATTAAACAAATGTTTGCAGACGCATATGTCTGGTAATTTTTGAAAGAAACGACCTTTTATTATCACTGGAAATAACGGCGAAATGCTACTTTAAAAAAAAAAAAAAGAAGATAATGTAAGGAAAGTAATAGAAAAGAAATATTCATAAGAATGCGTAAAAACCTGTCAGCCAAAGTGACTATTAAGTGAAACATTGTATCTACAATAGCAATTCATAATTTAACTCCTGTAGTGATCACAGTTTGGAAGTTAACAGGTGACTCAAAATGAACCCACAAAATACAGGAAGTTTGGATATTGTATGTTTATTTAATAAGCCTTACTATGTTGGTGGTTACCTTCCGGTGTGAAGTTTTTCGTTTCTTGAAGCCCCACCCTGGCCTTTACCGGGGGTCCTGCATATAGCTTGGCCACACGTGTGGCCATAACGGCTGAAAGGGGTTTCTGGGACCTCTCGACGGGTGATCCTCATCAACATAGTGGCACTTTGTGTCACCAGGTTTTTATCGCTTGTGTGATGTCCTGGTGGGGTACAACAAGCAAGCAATAAGCCTTGGTTCAACAACACCGATATGTGGTTGTCTAGGATACGTCTGAAGAATCTGATCTTTTTTGTGTCCAGTCTTCCTTTGACAAGTATTTAGTCGATGTGTTGGATGCTTTCATTAACAGGGTTGTTGTCTGCAATAGCAGAATTATGACCATGATCATGATTGTCTATTTCTGATGTGGGCAATACTTTCTGTTAGTGAGTGTTTCTTTCAAGACTTCTTCATTTCTCTTTTTATCTGTCCATGGTATTCTCACCATTCGTCTATAAAACCACATCTCCCATCTCCGCAGCTTCCAAATACCTTTTGAATAGTTTTACCAGCTGCTCACTGTCCTACGTCAGGGCAGGATTTATACAGCTTTTAATGATCAAAGTGTTACAAAGAATAGCACGAAATGTAGTGTACACTGTAAACTTAAATAATGATGATAGTTGATTGATCCTGTGTTCCTCACACATCTCACAAATCCAGTGATGGCAACTTTTTCTCCTTGATCAAGTCAGCAGCCATTTCGCCAATCATAATTGTTGGGGCGTTTGTGTTACCAGAGACCAGCCATGGCATAATGGAAGCGTCGACCACACGGAGTCCGGATATCCCGTGTACTCTAGAAATTAACAAGATGCATGTTATACGTAGTTTAGTATAAAATTATGTAAATTTATGTTTTTTAAATAACTGGTTTCCGCTGAAAGATTGGCTAATAAACACCATCCTTTCTCGAAAGCTGAAATATTTTGGTCATATCAAGCGCCACGAAGGATTGGAAAAAAGTATAGCAGAAGGCATGGTACCAGGAAGGAGGGGCAGGGGCCGACCGACACGAAGATGGGCACAGGATATAAGAGACTCCTTGAGTGTGAAAGTTCATGAGGCGGGAGAACTGGCAAGAGACCGAGTTTCTTTCAGGCCGACTGTAATGAGAGCGACGTTCTGCAAAAGGACCTGCTACATGATGATGATTGTTTCTGTTGTAAAACAAGAAACACACTCTTGCCTTAATGTTGTGTATCGGAAAAGATTTAAAAAAAAAAAAAAAAACACCATTAATGTTCTTGACTGATGTCGATTAGATGACTCAGACGTTGTGTGTGATACTATTTATTCACCAATAAGCTCAACGTTGTGATGAATAATGAACATATTGACACCATAATACAGAATGACTGACTGTTTGTCGGTACAGGGCAGTTACATTAAATTGTGAAATCTTTGACTCAACTGCATCTTCAATAACAATCTACCCCGATCAACATCCTTGTGCGTTATAATTAGAACATCCTACTGGCTAGAATTAAGTGCTATCGTGGGTAACTCTGTTGTTCAAACAAAGTAAGAAACCGTGCAACCAGATTACCACACGTTCTGATGTAAACCCTGTCAACCAGACAACCACACGTTCTGATGTAAACCCTGTCAACCAGACTACCACACGTTCTGATGTAAACCCTGTCCACCAGACTACCACAAATTCCGATGTAAACCCTGTCAACCAGACTACCACACGTTCTGATGTAAACCCTGTCAACCAGACTACCACACGTTCTGATGTAAACCCTGTCAACTAGACTACCACACGTTCCCATGTAAACCGTGTCAACCAGACTACCACACATTCCCATGTAAACCCTGTCAACCAGACTACCAAACGTTCCCATGTAAACCCTGTCAACCAGACTACCACACGTTCTGATGTAAACCCCGTCAACCAGACTACCACACATTCCCATGTAAACCCTGTCAACCAGACTACCACACGTTCCCATGTATACCCTGTCAACCAGACTACCACACGTTCCCATGTAAACCCTGTCAACCAGACTACCACACGTTCTGATGTAAACCCTGTCAACCAGACTTCCCATGTAAACCCTGTCAACCAGACTACTACCACCCTGTTCCCATGTAAACCCTGTCAACCAGACTACACACGTTCTGATGTAAACCGTGTTACCACACCTGATGTAAACCCTGTCAAAACCAGACTAACCCTGTAAACCCTGTCAACCAGACTACCACACGTTCCCATGTAAACCCTGTCAACCAGACTCCCACCACACGTAAAACCTGTCAACCAGACTACCACACGTTCTGATGTAAACCCTGTCAACCAGACTTCCCATGTAAACCCTGTCAACCAGACTACCACACGTTCCCATGTAAACCCTGTCAACCAGACTACCACACGTTCCCATGTAAACCCTGTCAACCAGACTACCACACGTTCCCATGTAAACCCTGTCAACCAGACTACACGTTCTGATGTAAACCCTGTCAACCAGACTACCACCGTCAACCAGACTTCCCATGTAACTACCCTGTGTAAACCAGACTACCACACGTTCCCATGTAAGCCCTGTCAACCAGACTACCACACGTTCCCATGTAAACCCTGTCAACCAAATCTAGTTCGCTTGTCTATTTCTCTACTTCACTTCCTCTTTTACCGCTTCGGGTGTCGAAGGAGATATATGGTTCTGCTTCTTTTCCTTCTCTTCGCCTCGATCATAGACATATCGGGCTACTATAGAGTTTCTGTAACGTTATCTCTCTATGTTGTCCTTGGTCTACCTCGGGTTCTTTGTTCATCTCCGCTTTCAGTGTATGCTTTGTATAGCATTGGCATCATAAGGCTTTCTCTCTAAGCAAATAATTTAATTTGCTGTTTGTGTATGCAATTTAGAACTGGTTGTGTGCCAGTCTTGTCTCTCATGACCTCATTCGTGATGATCTCCTCTGGTCACTCCTACAACCCTTCTCATGGTCACACATTTTCTGTTCTGGTTTGTTGTAAGTGAACATGTCTGACACTGTTAGCATAGGGTTGATTGTTGTGAGTAAACATGTCTGACACTGTTAGCATAGGGTTGGTTTGTTGTGAGTGAACATGTTTGACACTGTTAGCATAGGGTTGGTTTGTTGTGAGTGAACATGTCTGACACTGTTAGCATAGGGTTGGTTGTTGTGAGTGAACATGTCTGACACTGTTAGCATAGGGTTGGTTGTTGTGAGTGAACATGTCTGACACTGTTAGCATAGGGTTGGTTGTTATGAGTGAACATGTCTGACACTGTTAGCATAGGGTTGTTTGTTGTGAGTGAACATGTCTGACACTGTTAGCATAGGGTTGGTTGTTGTGAGTGAACATGTTTGACACTGTTAGCATAGGGTTGTTTGTTGTGAGTGAACATGTTTGACACTGTTAGCATAGGCTTAGTTGTTGTGAGTGAACATGTTTGACACTGTTAGCATAGGGTTGTTTGTTGTGAGTGAACATGTTTGACACTGTTAGCATAGGCTTGGTTGTTGTGAGTGAACATGTCTGACACTGTTAGCATAGGGTTGGTTGTTGTCAGTAAACATGTCTGACAGTGTTAGCATAGGGTTGGTTGTTGTGAGTGAACATGTCTGACAGTGTTAGCATAGGGTTGGTTGTTGTGAGTGAACATGTTTGACACTGTTAGCATAGGGTTGATTGTTGTGAGTGAACATGTTTGACACTGTTAGCATAGGGTTGGTTGTTGTGAGTGAACATGTTTGACACTGTTAGCATAGGGTTGGTTGTTGTGAGTGAACATGTTTGACACTGTTAGCATAGGGTTGGTTGTTGTGAGTGAACATGTTTGACACTGTTAGCATAAGGTTGGTTGTTGTGAGTCAACATGTTTGACACTGTTAGCATAGGGTTGTTTGTTGTGAGTGAACATGTCTGACACTGTTAGCATAAGGTTGGTTGTTGTGAGTGAACATGTCTGACACTGTTAGCATAGGGTTGGTTGTTGTGAGTGAACACGTCGTCTATCATGGCTGCAAGATACTGTTGCAATTTCATATCTGTATCTTCAATCGAGGCCTGATCCTCAGCAAAGACCAATTCATTGATCTGAAAATATTTGACACTGTTCCGTATACTGTCGACGTACATGTTGACACTGACATTTCTACCCCACCAGGACATCACACAAGCGCATAGGGTTGGTTGTTGTGAGTGACAATGTTTGCACTGTTAGCATAGGGTTGGTGTTGGATCACCATGGACACTGGTCCCAGAAACTTGGTTGTTGTTCATGTTTGCACTGTTAGCATATTGATTGTTGCCAGTAAACATGTCTGCAGCCCCTGCATAGTGTTGATTGAGTCAGAGCTTCATGGTGACAGTGTTAGCATAGGCTTGGTTGTTGTGAGTGAACATGTTTGACACTGTTAGCATAGGGTTGATTGTTGTCAGTAAACATGTCTGACAGTGTTAGCATAGGGTTGGTTGTTGTGAGTGAGCATGTTTGACACTGTTAGCATAAGGTTGGTTGTTGTCAGTGAGCATGACTGACACTGTTAGCATAGGTTTGGTTTGTTGTGGGTGAACATGTTTGACACTGTTAGCCTAGGGTTGGTTGTTGTGAGTGAACATGTTTGACACTGTTAGCATAGGCTTGGTTGTTGTGAGTGAACACGTCGTCTATCATAACTGCAAGATACTGTTGCAATTTCATATCTGTATCTTCAATCGAGGCCTGATCCTCAGCAAAGACCAATTCAATGATTTTTCTAATATTTTCCTTTCTGTAAACTGTCGACGTGTGTGTTAACTGACTTTCTACCCCAGCAGGACATCACACAAGCGATAAACACCCGATGACACAATGTGCCACCATGGATAGGTCCCAGAAACCGCGTTCAGCCTTTAGGCCATATTTATGGCCAGGCTATATTGCGGCCCCTGGCAAGTGTCAGAGTAGAGCTTCAGGTAACAACAATGTCATCCTAAGAAGGACGGGAAGCAATATATTTAGAAGTATGTGATAACGGCTGACTGACTTTCTGCCCCACTACACAAGCGATAAACACCCGATGACACAAAGTGCCACCATGCGGATGAGGATCGCCGTGGAGATGCCCCAGAAAACGCGTTAGGACAATTGGCCATATTTATGGCCTGCCTATATTGCGGCTCCCGGCAAAAGCCAGTGTGGGGCTTCAAATAGCAAAAAAAATTTCATCCTCAAAAGGAATAAACTATTACTGCAGTATGTGATAAACAGCGGTGGCGATAAGATACATCCCCGTCTTTTTTTCAGATTTTACTGTAAATGGTTTAGATGATTCCCTATTTATTCTAACTATGCTTCTACAATCCCCGTATAAACTTTTGCACACTTCGTGAAGGAATGTACAAAGACATAAGTATAGTTCTGCTATTCTCTAGTTCCTACAACAATCAAAAGAACCCGTGCACACAGTTTCACATGTACCTCAATTCTGAGTCAACAACAGCAGTGTTATCTCCCTTTGGACCCATCTTACATGTTCCGACAGGATGATGGACAGAGAGCGGTCTGTAGTTAACTAAACATTCCCAGTATTCATGGGTATTGAACATATATTGACTGCAGGCGGATTCTGTCCCCTTTTCCGTAAACTCAGCACCGATGTCTTGCATGGGTTTGGTAGCTACTATTTTTTGACATTCTTGGATACCTGCAACACAGTGAGTTAAATAACAACATAAATGTCCCAACTGAAACTGAATCAATTGCTCGACACAAACAACGTCAAAGCAAAATGTAACTGTTGAATAATAATTACTATGTTGTGTCGTAATTACTGTGTAAATTAATCTTATGAGAAATATTTTTGGGCAAACACTATGCCAGCAGTGCCAAACGTCGACACTTTCATCCTCTAATGAAAGTAAAACTGTGAGACAACAGAGATGAAGTGTATTAGACGAGATGCAGGAGTTTCAAGGAAAGACAGTATACGAAATCACGAAGAAAGACGAATGCTAGGAATAAAGCCAGTCTTACAAAATATCAAAGAACAACAAATAACGTGGTCTAGACACCTGCCAAGAATGCCCTGGTACTATCTACTATAGCGAGCCACACTAAAACGTTACAACGGATATAGAGCGAGTGGAAATATGGAGTGATGGCATTAAGAACAGCCCTACAGAAATGAACATTAGTCTTAATTGTTTTCTTTACAGAACTCATCAACGAACGTCCCCCCCCCCTCCCCCCCCCCCTTTAACCCTTTCCGACGCTTCACTAAAGCACAAGGTAAAAGAGAAGAAGGAGAAGTAACTAGAGGGTCATCATTATATAATTTACTTGTGATGTCATCTGTAGATAAAGAGTGGACAACATTTCGTGTGGTATCCGCTGGCACAGAAAGGAAAAAGTGATGAGTTCAGCCGTCTGCAGTAAAGTTAGAACATAAACCAATGACTAATGTAACTGGCAGAAGTATGCTTTCTTGTCGATGTGATGTCGTAACCCCTATATTGTTATGTTATGTCTTGCATATTTCAATATTATGACGAGCTTGTATAATTAACAATGAATCCAAAATGTTGTTATCCAGGCCCTAACCGGTTTCATTTCGAGAAACGAGTAATATAACTACGGTTCCGAGACATTGATAGAGATCTGCTGCAGTAGTTTGGTTTTCCTGGTTCAACGATTTAGGAATCGTCACCACAGCACACAGGGCATTTCCACAGAAGCTCCGTCTCCGGTAGCTAATGTCTTAAGGTATAGATACTGTTTCCGTAGCACACCGATTGTACACACGTCGTTCTCTTCCTCTCATACCTCCCTCCTTGCCGGATTCACTCCTAATTTCTCGTACAGTAGTTTGGATAACATAAGGGGTTTCCTGCTGGTGCTGATTGGCCAGATTATGATATGAATCTGTTGTTTTCTTTCTTTTGTCATAGGAGTGTTTCCAAATATTCCTAATTCTAAGCAGAATTTTTTTTTTTTTTTTAAATGCATCGATGCGCCCTCCCCTTCCCTCCTTTTCCCCATTCATGATATAGTTCACAGCCTGCGATCTCACCTTGTCTATCACTCTAGCACTGTTGTGTATGTACAAAGGCTACATATTGTGTCTACTGACCATACATAAATCATCCTCTGACTATATACCCCAAGATACAGGAAGAAGCGCAGACAAGATGACAGCGTCGTTAACTCTTTGAGTTCAGTGCACATATTTCTTAAAAACATTTTACGAGTATTACATCATACATGTAATAATCTTCAGAAAGGGTTAAAATAACAACCGGGATACAGCAGATTGCAGTTACAATAGACTGAAGGACACGTTTCAAAACATATGTCATTTACTGCTAAATGAGTTGAGTTGAGTTGAGTTGATTCAAGAATCGACATCACAGCATTTGGGACATTCCCATAAGCGCCGTCCCCATCTTCAGCAGCCAGCGAAAAGTTCCGATACTAATGGTGCCAGTAGCATTCTGATTAAAGTCCATCTTGCCTTTCCTCTGAGCCTCGAGCATCTGCCAGAACCTCTCGTCACCCCCCGATGCATCAATCTCACCAGACTGTGGTGATCTATCTGCTCCTCCGAAATGTACACGCTCTCCCACAAGGCACTAACCACGTCTGCCTTTTCATGCATCATTAAGCACTACTACTTAAATGAATGAATGCAGAGCGAGTTTCTTGCGGACAGTCAGTCAGAACCCTCTACTATTCTCCGTCCTCATTGCAAAGAACTGATCCATGTTTATTCTTCCCCATTAGCAGTCAAGGATCAAATCTGCCTTCCTTTTCTTCGTTTGCCCTCAATACTTTGGACACAAAATAGATGTCAAATCTCATAAATTCTAATTTGGTAACGCCCCTGGTTCTTCAGCTTACATTGTATCTATATCGTCCTTCAATGCATTATAAAATATCACTGGCCTATAATCAGGGAGCTGCCGTGGCGTAGCAGCTAGATGCTCTTTGCGGATTCGAAGGTCGTGTGTTCAATTCCTCCTACAGTCGAAATAAAACAAAATTGACCTTGACTCCCAGGTCCTGGGAAGTAAAGTTCGGTGGCGTGGTATTGATCAAATCACCCACCGAGTGCTGATTGGTCTATACAATAAAGTTGTAGTTCCATACAGCCAGCACACCAAGGTTTCGGAAAGAATCCTTCACCTACTTACCTCTAATCAAAGTGTCTATGTCTGCCTGCTTGTCCAGGTAATTAGCTTGAATAATGGGATAGTCAAAAGGATTCACGGATCTTAAAGTGATGTTCCCTCTGCTTTCCGGTCTCAGACCGACAGGTAGACAAGTAAAACCATAGTCTCCCCTGTTTCTGTCAACTAATTCTGCCTTGGTCTAACAAAAATTTACAATGTTTGACATTTAAAACATACAGACGGCAATAATTTAAAAAAAAAACACACACACTTATTTTAAAAGCACAATTATTTCCACATCAACAGCAAAGTAAAAATAAATTTTGATTTAAAATGGATAAACTGAACATGCTTATGCTATCAAGATTACATTATCAGACATATATGTCCTAGACAGTTAGCAGAAAAACACAGTTTATATTGAGGACTCAAAGGTATGGTTCTTACTGAAGAAGCTCCCAGCACAGCAACAAATAAGTAATCTTAGTTCTGTGACAGAGGCTAAGACGCCACGACAACTTGTCTCACACATTCAAGAAAAGCAGTCATCAGTTCTTTTGGGAGACTTTATGAGAATGGAAGAGAGGTGTAATCTTCTGGCAACCGGAAAGATTTATAAACAGAGAGATAGTGAAAGACAACCAGATAAGATTCGTGCAAGATTTGTGTCATGCCAAAAAGGCGTGTCATCAAGTGAATTAACTAATGCATGTTCGAGATTTCAAGGGATAGAGCAGAAGGATCGCCAACGCCACTCAGATGGACACTGGGGGATGATTATGAAATGTATTTCACAGTTATCAAGATGTTCTTATGTTTTAGGAGATGTATGAAACATGAAACCGCGTAAAAAAAAACAAAATATTAGATATGATGTACTCCCCGTTCCCGCGCTCCATTTTGGGAAAAACTAGAACTGATCTTCTGCCTCCCCAACATGCAGGTCGCAGGAGTCGACTAATTCGAGGCTTCTTTCAAAGTCAGTGTGCATCTGCCCTAGCAGCAAGGAACAACCCAAATAATCACACAAATAAGTCAGTAACACGGATGTACACGCAAAACCCTGGCGCTGGCACAAAGCCAAAGTCCAAATGTACAACAAGGACATTCCGGCGGAGCTTACATTCGGCGAAAAATGAAGAAAAAGATATGATGTGAAAAAAAAAAACCCTGACTGTGTTACTATTATAACTGGTAGCATTACAATACACAAGCCACTCAAATGCAGTTTAAACGTAAATATATATATATATATATATATATGTATATATACACAAACACACATATACACACCTACCCACACACATAAATCGAAGAGAGAGAGAGAGAGAGAGAGAGAGAGAGAGAGAGAGAGAGAGAGAGAGAGAGAGAGAGAGAGAGAGAGAGAGAGAAGTGCATTATTAGAAATCTGTAACACTTAATTGCAAAATAGTTGTGGCGTAATGTTAAGAAAACGTCCTAGAAGAAAACAAATCTAAGTAACATCAGCGGAAGTGGTAATGACGCTATGATAAAAATGTAACGCACGATACTACACTCAGAGAAGTGGTCAGAGATGTTACCGTCAGTTTCACGGAAGGTAAAGTCGTGGAGACTTTTAGTCTAAAATGGAGGGTTAAGCATGGCAGAATGTTAAACTTCGAAGTAATTTTTGCTTCCCACAGTGCTTTGCTAATGTAGTTTCCATATATAGACGGTTTCTCTACTGAGCTACTCAGTTTAGTGCTTGGTGCAGCCCTGTGAGCTGTGTTTTTCCCCCCATGTGAAGTGCCTTTCATTTGCACAGCGGTTGTGTCGTGGTATTCAATATGACCGTTTACGTTTGAGCTGGTAAAATACCTTATATGATAATTCTAAGTCTGTATAGGCAAACTTATCGAGGCCGACTAATTTTATCAAAGACAAACTGCACTTCTAGTGGCGACTGTTGGCTTTGGTGCCTCTAGTAACTGCCAAATGCATTAACTGCGTGCGCATATTTCTGGATTATGCCGGGACTAATTGTTTGTTCACGAGTTTTTCAAATGGGACAGTGAGGGACATTTCATTTGATTTTCACTGGCACAGAAACGGAGCAAATATGGGGAAACCCGATTGCAGTGATTTTGAAACCTAGACTATGTCCAAGACTAAGACTAAGTCAAAGTAACATTTGGTGGTCATAACACGTATGGTAATCATTTTCCCGCACATGAGATTATTTGACACAAGCGGTCCGTCCTCATTTTAAGCAGCCAGAGCATTGTTTCAACACCGATAGTCCTAGGATTTGGTTTTATGTAAGAAAGCATGCAAATATTTACCTTCTCTGAGTAGTCAGCTCGCATGTTAGAGGGCTTACTTTCAGAAAAAAGTAGTTGAACGTCTGGCCAGTCCTTCTCCCTAGTTTTGTTGGTCGTGCTCCTGAATGCCAAGATTTCACTAGCCAGGGCTAAACTCAAAGGGCCTGTTCTCACATAGGTGAAATTAATAATTATAGCTATGTTTACATCGTTTAACATTAAAGCTAAAAAAAAAAAAAAAAAAAAAAAGAAAGTTAATTATGAAAAGTTCGTTTAAAAAGGACATTGTACTTGGGAAGCACTGGGTACGTGTACCACCAGAATGCCATGCGTCTTTTAAAGTATGCACTAAGCTGAACAGAGAATGCAGACAACAAAACCCAGTAGTTGTGAAAGCAGAAGTGCAGGTCTTGATATGTAAGATTCTTATGAGGGTGATGTCATCGTATACACAAGTGGCTCATAACTTTCCTAATGCCGCGACCCTTTAACACAGTTACTCAAGTCGTGGCGACCCCACAACCATACAGTCATTTTCGTTGCTACTTCATAACTTCAGTGAATACGTGTTTTTCCGATGGTCTTAGGCGACCCCTGTGAAAGGGTCGTTCGACAAAAAAGAACAATTTTAGCAGCTCGTGGGCATTTACGGCTCAAGTTGGAGGGAGAACTGTCAAACAAGACTGCGGTGCCTCGCTTTGACGATAAGCAGTTTGACTGTGGAGGTGTCACGACAGCTACTAAAGGAACAGCCATTGCAGTACCTTCCCATTTAAGAATGAAACGCCGGGTATGTGCTGCGCTGGTGGAAAAGTTAAATTGCCAGTATTACATTCACCACCCGAACCATTATCATCATTGGTAATAGGTGACACAGGCCAGTCGAAACATTTCTTGGCAAACCTAAGTACATTTGCAAATATGTCAACAAAGGAAGCGATATGGCAGTCTTTGGAATGGGACGTGCAGCTGCATCTATCGATGAAATCAAGCAATATCAGCTGGGGCGCTACATTAGTAGCAATGAAGCTGTATGGCGCATTTTGTCATTCATGAACGACATCCAGCAGTTGTTCATTTGGCAGTGCACCTTGAATATGGACAACGCGTGTACTTCACTACAGAAAATGCACGAGTATTGTTACTACCGCCAACCACGCTAACTGCATTTTTCTCATTGTGTCAAGATGATATGTTTGCAAAGACACTACTTTACTCTGAACTGCCAACATACTACACGTGGAATGCATCAGTTAAAAAGTTTCAACGCTGCAAGCAAGGTCAAGCAGTTGAAGGACATCCTAATTTATATTCTTTTGATGTGTTAGGCCGTCTGTACACTGTTCATCCAAACAATGCAGAATGCTTTTACTTGCGATTACTTTTAATCAACAAACGTGGACCGACATTCTTCCAGAACAAGTAAAGTATGTGCTACTTATCGTGAAGCTTGCCAAAAATTAAATCTTCTTGAAAATAATGCACATTGGGACACTTCACTCGCTGATGCTTCGAATATTGCTCGACCACAGCAAATACGCACATTATTTGCAATAATATTAACAACTTGCTTCCCATCCAATCCAAAAGAGCTTTGGGAAAAATACAAAGACTATATGAGTGAAAACATCCTACATCGCTGGCAAGATCAGGACCTTCAATTCACACCAAATGTATATAATGAGGCATTTGTTTGCATTGAGGACATATGTTTGGCAAAACTAATAAAGCACTGGTTCAGCCGGGACTGGCTCCACCAGAACGATCTGCAAACAACCTTTTGAATCGTGAGTTGCAACGAGAGACACACTTTGATGTCACCGAAGTAGGTACATTTGTTCAAACAAATCTTCCAAAATTGGTTCCAGAACAACGTATAGCATATGACACAATTATGCATGCCGTTACAAGACAACACGGAGGATTGTATTTCAAAGATGCACCCGGAGGAACAGGCAAGACCTTTCTCATTTCGCGCATTTTGGCATCCATACGGTCACAAAATAATATTGCACTGGCAATCGCATCTTCTGGATTTGCCGCAACTCTTTTGGATGGTGGCAGAACAGCGCATTCAGCACTGAAGTTGCCTTTAAATATGCATATCACTGAGACACCAACATGCAATATTAACAATGATTCTGCAATGGGTAAAGTACTCAAAGTATGTCAACTCACTATATGGGACGAAGTTTTCCCTAATATCACACAGAATTACATAAATCATCAGTGGCTCAGTGAACATGCTATCTTAGCAGCTAAAAACAAGGATGTGTATGCCATGCATCTGAACATCCAAGACAAATTACCAGGCGGAGTGACAACGTATAAGTCTATCGATACTGTAATGAATAAGGATAAAGCTGTCAATTATCCAAATGAGTTCTTGAATTCACTTGATTTGCCAGGCATGCCACCCCACGTTTTAACCTTGAAAATTGGCGTGCCTATCATTCTTCTCAGAAACATCAATCCACCACGCCTTTGCGATGGTACCAGGCTTTCAGTGAAAAAGCTGATGCCCAATATCATCGAAGGTACAATTTTAAATGGGAAATTTAAGAGCGAGAATATATTATTGCCACGCATCCCAATGATTCCAACAGACATGCCATTTGAATTCAGACGCTTGCAGTTTCCGGTGCGACTCGCCTTTGCAATGACCATAAACAAATCACAGGGACAATAGCTACAAGTGTATGGACTACATTTGGAACATCCATGCTTTTCACATGGACAGCTATATGTGGCCTGTTCACGCGTCGGAAAACCTTCTGATTTATTTGTGTACGCACCAGACGGAAGAACAAAGAACATTGTTTACCCGAAAGCACTTTAGTAAACAAAATTACAATGTAATTTTAAATTACCTGTTGTTTCCTAAAGAAATTACATCGGCACAATGATCCAATATAATTACATTTTGTTAAAGCTATTTTCCTTTCAATTCAATTTCTATTGTAGCAACGCGTGCAGGGTAGTTTACAGCAATTAGCAAATGTGTTCATTTTTCCTGTTTTCATTGCTTTTCACTAGGGTAATTTTTCCAACTACTTCGATGATGGAAAAAGTAGTAGGTGAACTGGGGGATGGGTGGTTAAAATAAACTGTTTTCTGAGATAGATTTAAGTTACAATAACTGCCTTATCCACTCAAAGTATTATTAGCTGTGGTTTAGCTGTTGCACTGTACATCGTGAAGCTAAGACAGATTTCTATGTTCTCTATTTTCCATTTAGCCAAACTATGCCACAGTATTGCGTGGCCGGGTACAGCTAGTATGTATGTATATATATATATATATTATATATATATATATATATATATATATATATATATATAATACGTTGTATACAATGACTATAGTCACCACTGCTTTCATATACCTGTACGAAACAGAGCGTACTGTAGCTTAGTCCGCCAGGTAATTGCCTCTGATGGGGGAGTTGTTAGGGGCTCTTTAATTCTTACGCCGACTTCAAAATACAGATGGTCCTGAAGATTCTGCCCAACCGGAAGATCTGCAACTATGGGAATCTGTTGAGAGATGAAGAAACAGTGGTATCTTTTCGTCAGTAAACATACCTTAATGTGGATTTAGACATGTTTAGAACGGCTCTGTAGTAGAGGTTTATGAAGCTGTTTCACAAACCTCGACGTAGTCAGGTCTAATTGTCACGGCGGGTGATTTAGAAAAAAGATCATTCCTCTGATTTCATAAATAAAAGGTGTGGAGAACATCTTAATAAAGAAATCGCTTATACTGGAGGTCAGAACAGGAACCTTCACATGCTACAGAGAGTCAGTTTTATCGAAATTAAATAATGAACAACTAGCATTGTTAAAAAGAAGCTTTTTTTAAAAAAAAAGTTTCATAGAATTGTATTAGAGAAGAATGTTGGAAATTATGTGGACAAATCAAATGAATTATATAACTGTATTAAATTAGCTGAGGCTTGAAGACAACTTATTATAGGAATCAGAAAGAAATAGCATACATTTTTGGTTCCATTATGAGAAGAGAAAAATTGAATCATACTATGAAAATGAGAAATTGTCAGAAACAGAGAAGAACATCTCGAGACGATTCTTGGCAGTCATTTATCATGTTATGAAAAGGTGAAAGCACCCCAGATGATAAATGAAATTAGAGAAACAGCCATCTGGCAAGGCTCTTGGTGATGATGATGATTTAGAAAACTAACGGTAGCTTGGATGTGTGATCAACAGCATGCCTGAAGAACGTTTGATGTTTCTGGTTAATTCACGCACTTGGGCTGTAAGATTCCAATTCCAATTCCAGTTGCCCAACAAAAACTCCAAGTTTGATCCTTTTTTAGCTGCCAGGAGGCCTGCTTTATGAAGGAAGGTTCCTTTACTATCTTTTTTGATTTCCTATTATTTTTGGTGTGTGGTCACACCTGATAATCCGGTTTTTTGCTTCCTAAGTCCGGTGCGGTGCTTGGGGTTTTTGGGTCTGGTCTGGTCCAGTTCTCTTAGTACTGATATCTGTGGGTTTTAGCTGATTGTTGCTGGTGCTTGGTTTACCTCGTGCTGATCGCTGCGCTGGTGCCCTATTGCTGCTTGGTTGTCGTTCTGTAAAGCCGCCGGGAAAAAGATCAAAGTAACCCAGCCTTCTTACGTCTAGCGCAACGTTAGCGCATCCAGTATGTAGTACTTGACAGATATTTTAAAAGCCCAGTAGGCACTGGTGAAGCGATAATTTCAGTTAGGTCACCTTTACTTCCTAGATATTTCATGATACTCATTTTAGCTTATCAACCTGCATGCCAAGGTAATTTACAATAACGTTATTATAGCGTGGACTCAAACACAAAACCTTTGCTCCGGCAGAAATTAATACTGGCTATTTATTGCATCCGTCATACCTACTCAGGCCCCTCTTACTAACCAGTCAACCTGGCAGGCTACTTGTCGTCTGCTGACTGGGCTGCTTTCAATTTTGCCAGATAATAAAAGAATGCTGCTTCGTTAGATAACAAACTTTGCTTCACAAATGGCGTCTTTATCTTGGCCACAATAAAATCAGCTATATTCTATTTTTGTTGAAGAGAGCTGCGTGGGCTCAAGGCATGGTGACCGTCTCGAGTGTTAGAGGTCTCTGGTTCAGGCCCAGGTGAAGGTTGGGATTTTTTCAGGTACACTTTTAGTGGTTTCCCCTGGTCTCTGCGTAGTGAGATCGGACGCCCGTGTGCATTACTGCGCTCGTAAAAAATCCCTTGGCAGTTGGAAATAAGACATGAGATAGAAGTAGAACAGAGCACTTATGGGTTATTACCCTTGTGCCATGATGTTGATCCCTTATTCAAACATAAAATCTCTATATTTGCTGGACTGTGTATCCCCACGTAAGCTAAAAAAAAAAATTTTTTTCAATGGAAAGAAAAGGAAATAAAACGGAACTACACTAGTGTCAAGCAACTTATTATTCCGTCATGATTTACTTTTCAATTGTCTTTACCATTTGCAGTCGTCTCTCTCTCTCTCTCTCTCTCTCTCTCTCTCTCTCTCTCTCTCTCTCTCTCCATCCCTCTGTGTCTATTTATCTAGAGAGCTGCCGCTGTCAGCCAGTCTGTCCAGGTTATTACTTTGACTCAAGTAGCTAATAAAGTAATTCCCCCTAAACATGTATTTATATTATTAGTTACTGGTATGTGACAGATATGGTCACGATTGCTCAGTGCAAGAATAGTATACCTAACCTGTAAACTCTGCAGATGTTTCCTGGGTCCAACACCAGACAACATGAGTATTTGTGGGGAACCCACAGCTCCTGCTGACAGAATGATCTCTCTCCTGGCATTGACGATGTATCGTTTAGAGTCTTTGATCACTTCAACGCCTACAGCTGTCTTATTGTCAATAATAATCTGAACAGAGACATAGAGCAGAGTGAGGAGGCATGTTTGTAAATTACAGACTAAATATCTTTCTCTTGTCAAAATATTCTTGCTGTCAACTCTACAGGTAGCGCTTGATTAGAAAGCAGTGATGTAAAATGCATAGGAATGAATATAAAGGTTTGATGAAACTGCTATTTTGCAACTAATCATGACTAACTGCTGTTCTGACTTTATAGCAAAGGGGTTAACCAGTAACCGCTTTGTTCCTGTGCCAACAACAACCGCTCAGAATGTCCATCACTGTCTCCTGTGAAAAAGTTTATACAGACTGCAGTCTCAGAAAGGGCAATAGCATACACACTCATTAAATGCGTAAGGCAGCCGTCATCAGTGCCAACACAAAAAGTCAAGAAATGCAGTTGGTCGTCGATGGAAGCAGCAGTTACAATAGATCAGTAGTTGCACACACAATTATTCGTATGAGGCACATACATTTGTCCCTAAAACAAGTTAGTCGCCCTTTTTGAATCGACAGTCCACAACACAAGTCACATTGGGTACAGTCGAAAAGCCTTGCAAATGAAATACGCTATATTTCAGCGATTAAATAGCCATACACTGTTTTCAATCCTCTACCATCCAGGATTGCAGCCGGAAATATTGACATCCAATGACTCAAAGAGCCACTGTTCGGATACAAATCGTACAGGAGTATATCCCAGACACTCAGTTCACTTTTAAAAGTCAGTTACACTGGGTACTGTAGGATTACCAAGTTAAGATTACCAAGTATCTCCGCGATTGCCGGTCCCAAGACAGGATGAGAATGAAGGAGGGTTGGGCGTGCGACCAGCTATCTCACCCTGTCAAAGAAATATTTGCTACAGAAACTTGCAAGAAAGGGTGCTATTTCGGTAAAGAAACGGTGTGTGGTGCACAGAGTGCATATATTACGGTTACAGATGAAAGCCGCTCTGGGAAAATCAGTGGTCAGACGCACACACTATTTTGCTAAAAATAATCACTACAATAGATTTTTATAATGTTGGGACTATGGTGCAGGCAACAAAATTCAATGAGATAGCAAAAGAAATGAAGAGATACCAACTAGAAATTATAGGTTTGAATGAAGTTAGGTGGCCAACAGCAGAAAAACAATTTGTTAATAGGCTTACACTTATATACTCAGAGAGAGAAGAGTGAGTAGGCATTATGAAAACACCCAAAGCTGCAAAATGTCTTCTAGAACTGGAGATTATTTCAAGCAGAATAATTAGAGTCAGGTTTAACAGATGCGAGGATGTCTGAAAGAAACTCATAATAGTTCTGATCCCGGCTTCTCCCCCTCCCCCACCCCCACCGTTAGAGAGCAGACTACTCAGCCAAAACTAAGAGCAATACAAAATTGCCATATGCAGGATGCAGTTATCAGGAAAAAAACACACCCCATATCAAGGCAGCCATTAGAACGCACTGGAACAGGGTCCCGCTCAGAACACAATCCTAGCGACCCTGTCAACCTGCACACAGGAGACCTGCAGACTACTGCATTTAGACTGTGAACTGGACATACCAGACTGCTCAGGGCAAATTTAAAAAAAATGTATTTTTTGGGTGACAACAATTGCCGTTCCTCTTTTTGTAATCACCGTCCGTGGAATTAATGTAGCATGTATTACTATCATATATCTTATTTTAGGCACTACTTTCCACATGGCAGCCCTGTTCACAGTCGATTAGACTGGTTAATTCGCCAGCACAATTAGGATGAGACACTTGAGAATCAGGAAATGACATCATAGATAGTTTAACAAGCACAATGGAATACCTGCCACCGTTAAGGAACACATGCTCAACACAAAATATTCTTTCTTCATTAGTTAACACCATTACAGCTATCATCAAATTACCAAAAGCACCGGTATATAGCAGTGATATTCTAAACTAACGGTTTCACGGCGCTTGAAACATGACCTAATACACACATTTAATTATCGTACTCAAAGCTTTGATAAAAAAAATTAATAAATTATGCAGTCATTAAACATACACCCTGTTCAAGAAATTCTTTTTCTTGGCTTTAACGGACTGTACGTCAGAAAATTTTGGTTATTTGTCCAAAACTTCAGACTTTGCGTGGACATCAGTTTTACAGATATAGCTTATATGTCTATAGACTATTGGTTCCCTAAAAAAAAATTAGCTGTATACCATGGCGGTTCACAGGGCCAGCAACACCAGCATTGAAACCATTATATGCACATAGGTTATATCATCTTATCTCTTGAAAACCTGACAATGCATCTGCGGCTAGGTTTGTGTTATATCAGTTGACAAAACCTCAACGTAGCAGGACAGCTTTCGTCGACCAGAATTTCCAGCCGAGAGCAGGTTTGATTAAATGTTTTTTATAGAACTGATTAGAGAGTAATAGTAGTACTTTTCTACCCCACTAGGACATTACACAAGCGATAAACACCCGATGACACAAAGTCCCACCAGTGGATGAGGATCACCCGTTGAGAGGTTCCGGAAACCGCGTTCAGGTATTAGACCATATTTATTGCGGCCCCTGGCAAAACCCAGGGCGGGGCTTCAGAAATTGACGAAAAATTGCATCCCACAAGGAGATAAATATTAGAGAAAGTCGTTAGAGATACTATAAATAAGGGAGTCGTGTAAGCCTGGTATTTAGTGCATTTACTTGCCAACCTTTTGGCAGTTAGTTATAGGACTATTTCGTTTCCCTTATCAGACACAGTTCTGAGATAGACCTAAAGAAAACAGGCACAAGACAGTTGATACATTCTCAGAATTAAAATCCTTACTTTTGTGACATGCGCTCTCAGTGCTACATCCAGGTTAGTTCTGTCCAGGACGGGGTGGATAAATGCTCGGCCAGTAGCCATACGTTCACCGTTGATTGTAGTTGACTGTAAACGACAGATTCCTATAGGGAACGAGAAAGACTCACAATATTCTAATATTCATAATCAGTCAGCAGATTTTGCTTTAACCGAACCTGACTCTCTTCAGGGCATGCCCGAAAGTCTCTCTTTCTCTGGCCAGTCTCTCCAGCCCTATGTGCTTTTTATAGTCAGTGCATCTTCAATGTCTTGTATTTACTTTCGCGGAGTTCTGCCCTTGCCTCGTTTTCAGGAAACCGTAGCTTCCATCAGCCCTTTTTTCTCCCAGGCTACCATAATTGTTATCATAGTCAAAATACCACAGTTTTCAAGACAGGATGCTGTTCATAAGCCCGCTGTACTCCGTGTTCGGATCATGCAGGATGTCCATGTTTTTCTTATTTTTTGTCAACGGTATTCCTAAAACTGTTTTGTAATAATTCAGTTCACATGCTTTGATTTAGTTTTCTTTAATTACTGAGTAAGAATTCCTGACTCACAACCACAGTTACCATGGAAACCATACATGCTCTCACTTTTTTAAACTCCTCTCTCTCTCTCTCTCTCTCTCTCTCTCTCTCTCTCTCTCTCTCTCTCTCTCTCTCTCTCTCTATCTCTCACTCTTGTTGTACCCCAACAAGACATACACGCGATAAACACCTAGTGAAGCAAAGTGCCACCATGCGGTTGAGGATCACCCGTGGAGAGGTCCCAGAAACCCCTTTCATCCGTTATGGCCATATTTATGGCCCGACTGTATTCAAGGACCCGGCAAAAACCAGGGTGGGGCTTCAAAAAACGAAAAATTGCATCCCACATGGGGACAACTGTACCTTATAAATTGTCAACTACTTCAGAGTTCTATGAATATATATATATATATTCGGTAGTCTTCATTTAATTTCTACATCAACATGACTTTCAGACTTCAGCAATCTTGTAGACTGCCGGGGTGAGCCAGTGCCCTGTCCTGTGAAGCTGTTATTACCCTAATTATTAGCAAACGTTTAGGAATAATTAAACGTTTGGTTCCAACAGACAGTTCACAAACTATAGCGGTATCCTGATTTATGTCTCTCTCTCTCTCTCTCTCTCTCTCGCGCGCGCGCGCGCGTGTGTGTATGTGTGTGTGTGTGTGACCTATTTTGTTTCAATCCCCTAACCCCTCCCCCCACCCCCACAGGAACACCAGGATCCCAGTCTGTAAGTTTAACATCTGACAGGAGTGAGAATTTCTAGACACCCCACTATGAATCACAAGCGATAAAACAGGATGCACACGTGCCAGGAAACCCGTGGTTTAGCCATTTTTAATGCACAGTGCAAAACTGTGGCTTACCTCAAAAAAACGAGGAAAAGTAAACACGTAGTCCAGTGTGGGTGGGTCTCTATCGAGCAGTGGTAACTTTTTTCATTATTGTTCTTATGATGACAAATAAAAAACACACAGTTGTGTATATGTTTAAAATAACATATCAAAAATGTAATATCTTCGAGTTCTTCTAAACTAGACTTCCTACCTTCCAATGTTCTTCCATTATAGTCCTCGTTCAAAGGATACCCAGCTTCCCGGCCAGCATCAATCAGTTTGTCTGACAGAGGTATAATATTCACACTGTCGACGGTGAGGGGCCCACCTTTCCCGTGATATCCTAGAGGTTAAAAAAAAAGGGGGAACAACAAATGTTCACAATACACCCCAGTGACACAACTGAATAGAATAATATGTAATTTACAGACTTCATTTTGCAATCTAATCATCACATTTTTTTGTGTTGGTCGAACAGGTTTGTAATTGCACATGCTTACCATTTATCATTTATTTATTTAATTCTGTACTCCGCAAACTTTTTTATCTCACCAACATATGTTGAAAGTAGCAGGTTTTAACAGTTTCAATGCCCGGCTCTCTAGCGTAGTTGGCTAAACAGGATTGCGCGGAGACCGGGTGACGAACTCCTTGTGGTCCGGGTTCACTCCCGGAGGTAGACAGAAAAGCCACATTTTCTCCCAGATTTACGGTATTCACAATGGAATCAAGGCCAAAAGGTTGCGATATCCATAATACACAGCCTAAGGGTTAACAAACTCATGGCTTCTGGATACTAAAACAAACAAACAACAGTTTCAATAGCGAACAGGGCCGTAAACACTTAAGTCATATTTCGAGGCATTTCACTGCAATTTAAACTCAAGCATTCTCATTTGTGTCATCTCTTTGTTGTTGTTGTAATGTTAGACTATCAGTTGTTCTGACAATAATCTTCAAAACTACACCTGACTGTCATGTGTGATTCGACCACGCTCTTGACAGTAACTGATCAGCTCGCTCGCGATATCGGTACTGACAGAATCTTCAGGATGGAAAAGCATTGCAAGTACTTTTGAGGGAGAGATTTTCAATATTGCAAGTACTTGTGAGGGAGAAATTTCCAATATTGCAAGTACTTTTGAGGGAGAGATTTTCAATATTGCAAGTACTTGTGAGGGAGAAATTTCCAAAATTGCAAGTACTTGTGAGGGAGAAATTTCCAAAATTGCAAGTACTTGTGAGGGAGAGATTTCCAATATTGCAAGTACTTGTGAGGGAGATATTTCCAATATTGCAAGTACTTGTGAGGGAGAGATTTCCAATATTGCAAGTACTTGTGAGGGAGAGATTTCCAATATTGCAAGTACTTGTGAGGGAGAAATTTCCAATATTGCAAGTACTTGTGAGGGAGAGATTTCCAATATTGCAAGTACTTGTGAGGGAGAAATTTCCAATATTGCAAGTACTTGTGAGGGAGAAATTTCCAATATTGCAAGTACTTGTGAGGGAGAAATTTCCAATATTGCAAGTACTTGTGAGGGAGAAATTTTCAATTTTGCAAGTACTTGTGAGGGAGAAATTTCCAAAATTGCAAGCACTTGTGAGGGAGACAGCTCTAGCATTTCAACTACTTGTGAGGGAGACATTTTCAGTATTGCAAGTACTTGTGAGGGAGAAATTTCCAATAATGCAAGTACTTGTGAGGGAGAGATTTCCAATATTGCAAGTACTTGTGAGGGACAAATTTCCAATATTGCAAGTACTTGTGAGAGAGAAATTTCCAATATTGCAAGTACTTGTGAGGGATAAATTTCCAATATTGCAAGTACTTGTGAGGGAGAAATTTCCAATATTGCAAGTACTTGTGAGGGAGAAATTTCAAAAATTGCAAATACTTGTGAGGGAGAAATTGTCAAAATTGCAAGTACTTGTGAGGGAGAAATTTCAAAAATTGCAAGTACTTGTGAGGGAGAAATTTTCAATATTGCAAGTACTTGTGAGGGAGAAATTTCCAAAATTGCAAGTAGTTGTGAGGGAGAAATTTTCAATTTTGCAAGTACTTGTGAGGGATAAATTTCTAAAATTGCAAGTACTTGTGATGGAGACAGCTCTAGCATTTCAACTACTTGTGAGGGAGACATCTCCAGTATTGTAAGTACTTGTGAGGGAGACACCTTCAGTATTGTAAGCACTTGTGAGGGAGACAGCTCCAGCATTTCAACTACTTGTGACGGAGAAATCTCCAGTATTGTAAGTACTTGTGAAGGAAACACCTTCAGTATTGTAAGTACTTGTGAGGGGAAATTCCTATAACTAGGTGCTACCTATCTCGTTTCACAACTATCAGCTTGAAGTTAAGAATCAAGAATCAAGAAAATAAAAAATCCAAAATGATTGCTTTGTTGATGTAAGTTCCTCAAAACCAAATTCATAGCAGCTTTTAATTATAAGCCGACTTGTGAATTTATAAGCCGATTTATGATAAGCAACGATTTCTAAAATTACACACATGCATATATACATACATAATAAATAAAGAATACATACATACATATTAAATAAAGAATACATACATACATAGTAAATACATTATGCATGCATGCATTTATTCATACATACATACGTAGATACATACGTACATACATACATACGTACAC